CGACTTCCGCTTTTTGCACAGCAAACCCGGCACGCGGATATATTTTGGCCGAATTTTGTCATTCCCTCACGGATTTCAGAGCGAATTTAAGCTCTTTGGTTAAAGCATCGTTGTTTTGAGAGTTATATGGTATCATTCTTGCAGGGGATATCGATTAATCGTGAAAGAAATGCATTAAAAGCGAGAAAACGAGGATAGTTTCGTGTGACATATGCCAAGTCTGGGATATTTTGGTCTCAATGTCTCCGTCCTTCCCTCGTTATAAGGAAGGCACAGGCGGGCGCGGGCAAATCGAGCCTGGGCCTCCTGTGTTCAAATGGGGTAACCGCTGGAATATTCTTGGCTTCAATTTTACTAAAAGAGATGCGCTATCTATTGTATATAATATATCTATGAAAGTGACATCCAAATATAATTTTAGGAATAATAAACATTTTAATATTCCAAAATACTGTACCCATAGATTTAGAGATATATTCATAATATCAAGTTTAATAAATTTGTAAACTTCTAACGGTTGGTATTCCAACGCCGTACGTACTAATAGCTTAGAGATAATTTTATAGAATGTTTAATAATTTTGTAAACAGTTGTAAAAATGCTTTGTATATAAGTATAGGTAATCATGCGATGGCGAGTACAATTAGGGATTTTAATAATAGTACGAGTGATGTTTGGAAATTTTGCCAAAATTAGACGAGCCACCGTTGTTTATTATTAGCATATGACAACATTGGATACTTCTCCGTCAACATCATATTCTCTCGCCAAAGCCCAGTCTTGCCAGACTTTCAACCAAAATTTGGCATGGTACTTTTGTTCGTATTTTCATTTAGTTCTTTAGTTAAAGCAATATTTGGTGCTTTTGTTCGTATTTTCGTTTAGTTCCCCAAGGGCAATTTCATTTCACATTTTGTGTTCAAAATACCTTTCCGTCATTTTGTTTGTTTTGTGAAAATCATTAATTGTACTGCAGTACAATTAATGAAATAATTGTACTCCTCTCAACCAATCAGCATCCAGTAATTTTGTCATGCTAATAGACCTTATTCATAAATCGTGACGAGGCCTCGTATCCTAGGAAACGGGGGAAAACGCGGGAAAATTAACAAAATGTTTTTTTGCTGTCGGCTATGGCAGCTTTTTTTCGTGAATATTTCGGCTTTTTTTCGAAAATATATCTATAAAACTGAGCTTGAAAGTTGAAAAAAATACTTCTGAGAAAATATAACAATCTGGAGTCAATCGAAAAAGGAAACCTTTGACTTTGTATTATTGTCGTAGTTTGTATGGCCGAAACAAACAACCAACAAGGCTACAAAACGTCTATACAACACCAAAATCGTAAGAAATATGATACAATTGTTGAAGAAATAAGATTACAACTCACTCAGGTAATGTAGCCTTCATTTTTTAAACTTGTAAGCTGCTTGCAGAATGTTATCGAGCCACAGTCATAGTTCATATTTTTCCGTACGAATCAATAACATATGACGTTCTCTTGTGATTTTTGACTGTTATTTTCTTTCATATTTATGTCAAATTCGAAAAATTATACTTCCATTCCATAGTTGTCTTGATTCTTCACGGAATAAACCTTATTAGTATAAACCTACTAGTACAGTAGTAGGTTATCATATATCGTGCGTTCTGATTGGCAACGCTACTAGTAGGCTATTAGTGATAGCCTACTAGTAGCAACAAGCGGCGAAGGGTGCGAGAGTCAATGGCCGTTTTTAAGTATTAAAAGCTGCATTTAAAGGGAAAAAGCTTATCAAAATGGCCTAGTTTTGGTTCTGGATTACACACAAACAAAGAATCTTGGAAACTGCTGACACATGCGGTAACGTTTTTAAGTTTTCTCAACTTTGCTCGTAGTTTTGAACATGAAAGTGACAGGCGAATTTTTAAAATATATGCACAATGTTTGTTAATATTCCAAGCAGAACTGTTGAAATTCAAGAATACCTTAAGCTATTTACCCCTGTTTTCTCAACCTCTTTAGTGTGTGCTTGTTTTAAGTACGAGTTCATGCATTTAGCTGTCATTTTAAAGAGTTTTTTTCGTTTAAATTTTGAGATTTTGGCCGAGTTTGTTTTTCGCTTTTTCGAACTTTTTATAACTATTGTCTATGTATACACTAGATTATGGAAATTGTTTGCCTCTTTATGTTCCAGATATTTTAAAGATTTCAACGACATTCGGATAATCGGATTCTTTTGCAAGTGTGTGCATTTTTATTCGGCTTTTTAACGTAAACTTTATTTACTAATTTAGTAACAATTCGGGAAGCCATTTTGTGTTCGAAATTTTGGACTTTTTAAGCCTTGTTTCCTTCTTTTAAATAAGTTTTAATTAACCAAAATTTGCTTCTATAACGGTCTCTTACTATTATACTGTTTTACGACATGTTTTTTAACTTTTTTAAAACTCACAAGTTGTATTTTTCAAGTCATTCTTGGGAGTTCGCAACACTGAGTAGTTGTCAACAAAGCCAAGGCGAAATGTCGGCAAAGCCAAAGGAAGCCATTTAAACGCTCATTTTGTTAAAACGTTATTATTTTACATAAAAATCAAGTGAAAAATTCCGTTTTCTTTGTGTGGTTTATACTAAAACAATTAGACAACTCAGCCTCGTTATCTCTGAACGAATAGTCAACTCGGCTTCGCCTCGTTGACTATTCGCTCATAGACAACTCGGCTTCGTTGTCTAATTGTTAAATATTGTCTATTGACGTTAAAATCTCAGTATAATACTGTTTTTCGCTTCTGGATAAACACCATTGCTACGTTGTCATTTTTTCCACACAAAAACGGGAGAAAAACCGGTCGCTTTTATAATATACTCGTTGTGGGCACAAAGTCTTAAAATACACACAAAAATCGTTATAAATCGCAAAAAGCAACAAGAAACAAGCCGTTAAAGTCGACACAATAGCATCTGAATTTGACTTGTCAAGCAGTTTTCGCTTGTTTTCCCGCGTTTTGTTCCCGTATCCTAGGATACGAGGCCTCGTCACGATTTATGAATAAGGTCTATAATAGATCATGTAATTCAGTTCTATAGCTGCTACATGATTCAATAAACGGATTATCAATCTATCTAGTTTACCTCTGTTTGTTTGCCGTTCAAATATTATGCATGTGAATAATCATATTTGGAGTTTGTGTGGCACTTCAGACAAACTGTGTTTTTTTACTTACTTGCCACTAACACCGGAGGCAACAGCTGTAGTTATTGCAATACTTGTGAGAGTATCCATCGCTTCCTTTTTCGTCCTGTTACCACTGGGTGAATCCTTTTTACTGGGACTTCGCTCGGCGGTGTCTAGATAACATAGAGAAATCAAAGCTATTTGGTTGAAAGTTTCATTTGAAATTAGCTCTTTGATTGTCTTCACATTGTGCATTGGATATTATGTTCTCCTTCCTAAACGAAATCCAATACCCTCTAACGCAGTCCTGACACACACTTTGTGCTATTTGGATCACCTTTTCTGCGTTTTCCCAATTTTCTATCGCTTCCTCATCATCTCCCCCCATCCCCCTTTCTGCCATCTTCACTTTCTCGTGCTTACCTCTCACCCATGAGGAGAAAGACCCCTGCACCTTGCTCCCCCTCACTTTTCCCTTCACTATCACTATCGCTTCCTCAACATCTCCCCTCCTCCTTCCCACCACCTTCACTTCCTCATACTTATTTATCTCACCTATGAGGAGAAAGACCCACCTTAACCCCTACCTGCCTTCACTATTCTCCCTTTGGTTCCCCTCACTTTCTTCCCTCACTAACACTAGCACTTCCTCATCATCTGCCCCTCCTTCCCACTATCATCTTCACTTCCTCATACTTATCTCTCACCCATGGGGAGAAAGACCAACCACCTTAACCCCCACATGCCTTCACTATTCTCCCTTTGGTTCCCCTGACTTTCTTCCCTCACTAACACTATCGCTTCCTCATCATCTCCCCCTCCTTCTTCCTGCCATCTTCACTTCCTCATACTTATCTCTCACCCACGGGGAGAAGACCCTTGCACCTTGCTCCCCCTCACTTCTTCTCTTCACTATCACTTTCAACATCTCCCCCTCCTTCCCACCACCTTCACTTCCTCATACTTATTTATCTCACCTATGTGGAGAAAGACCCCTGCATCTTAACCCCCACCTACCTTCACTCTTCTCCTGTGGGCTCTCCTCACTCTCTTCTTTCACTATAACCATCGGTTCCTCATCATCCTCGCCATCCTCCTCTTTGCCCACCACCTTGTCATTCTCATCCTTGCACGCCAACTTGTTCTTCTTTTTCTTCTTCTTTTTCTCACGTCTTCTCGCCGCTGCTTGCTTCTTCACCTCCTCTCTCTCCTTCTCCATATCGACTTGTTGGAGCAAGATGGAGGCGTTCTTTGCGGCCTCTTTCTCCTGCAAGTCCTTGGCGTGTCGGATAACATTCATACATTGCTGACATTTCTTCAGGAGCTCCTAAACAACGGGATAAATAATTACAAAATGCTAGACCCAGAGGTAACAAGATTATACTCCACATTCTCTAATGAGTATAAAGTATTTTTCTCGTTGCTGCTCAGTCACATACTCACATTGCAGAATTATTTTAAAATCTAGTCGTCGTACTAGGAAAACAAACATTCAAGATATAAAATATACTATTCTGTACCTTATCATTGAGAAGGGTCGAAATAAATCTCGCTGAATCAGATTCGGATGGAAACTGCGTAACATGACGAACTATCCATTTGACCGTCTTGACATGACCTTTCCTGAACGCCGCCATGAGTACGGACACTTTGCGATTGTCTTGGCTGTTCACATCCGCGCTGTACCGCGCGAGAAGTTGACACACCTCCAGATGCCCTCCTGTGGAAGAAATATAGTGAAGTTTGCACGTTGACCTTGACGAGGCAAGTCAACGACGGGCCTTCAAAACAAAGCAATTATTCGTGCAAGACAAACAGTATGAATAATTTGAGTCCCAATTTCCAATGAACATTTCCCCTTCATTGTATTGGTATAGTTGTAGCTAGGTTCTTGGTTTATAGACAATAGTTAAACTTACCAATCTGACCTTATCAGTTTATTAGTATTTTTGCACAAGTGAATATAACAAATCCTACAAGTTGATTGGTCAAATTTGACGTATTAAGCTGTTATATTCGTATTAAGCTGTTTATTTGTGAAAGTTACTGATAAAGAAATAAGCGAAATTCAGTCCCAAAAGTCGTATTTTAAATACTATAAACCTGCCAAAAAAATATAGACTGGCAGCCTATATTTTTTCTCTACTTCGAGCCCTGACTTCTAAAACAATGAAACAGCTTACCATTCGCTGCCAACCACAAAGGTGTACTTCCTTTCTTGTTGCGAACTTCAACAATGGCGCCTCGCGACAACAAAAGATCACAGAATTTCTGGTGACCTTTGTCGGCGGCTATCGTCAGCGCAGTGTCACGTGACGAGGGCACAGGAGGGGCGTTGACGTCAGCACCTTTCTCGAGCAACACTCGGCCAACTTCGATATAGCCACCCGATGCTGCTTCCATGAGCGGTGTTAGACCAGTCTGAATGAAACAACAGTTAAGAGTCAGTTTATCAACAAAAAGTCCACGAAAGATGGCCTTTACTGAACATCTAGAAGACTAGTATGAATTCTTGTAAACTTTACTTAATTCAGCTCATGGCTGCAATGTAAACTTCATGCATAAAAATTTCACATCTCAACAATTAATTAAGATGTGTTCGCACTGCTTGTTCCCAGTTGTTGACAAGTCTAACATTGTCAAACAAGTCAAACAACTAAATTTGTAACAAAGTTGATCAACTACTCGCAACAAGTTGTTCCAACAAGTTTGGTATCGTTGCACGTAACAAGTTCATGACGACAAGAAAGTAGCAGCCAAGTACTGTAGTCTTGTTGGAACAACCTGTAGAAAACCTGCTACCGTCATCAACCTTGTAACAAGATGATAACAACTTGTTCAAACAACTGGGAACAGGCAGTGCGAAAACATCCTGATATCGACTTGACAACAACCTTGTTTACATATCTGCAACGACTTGCGCGTTTTTACGTGTGCAGTTTAGAACTCGCAGTAAATCTAAAAAGCCACTTACCTTGGCACGATGTTCGATATTGGCCCTTCGCTCAACGAGCAAACTGACGACCTCGTGTCTGCCTTGAAAACACGCTAGAGTCAACGCCGTGTTCCTATTGGTCTCAATCTGTGCATTTATGTCAGCTCCCATATCCAAGAGAAGTTTAACCGTGGCTGTGTGACCATTCATGGAGGCCAGCATCAGAGGTGAGATACCAAGTTTACTGCCAGTCCGCGAGTTGATTTCAGCGCCGTGTGCTAGGAGGATCTTCACGATGCCAATGTAGCCTCCAGATGCGGCGAGGCTCAACGGGGTGTAGTCCGAGACGTTCCGATGTTCGAAGTTTGCACTGCCAGCGATCAGCACTTCTACAGCCTGGAAAAAACAATCACAAAATGAGTTGACGAGTGGCAGTGAGTATAAACGAGTCAGCTGTTAAAGCTGTATTGTATTGCAAAAACTTTATTCACCAATTTATGGAACTACAGTACACTCGACAGTAAACGTGCGAGTTTACATCAATATTTATCTATTTGGTTTACAACAATGTAATGTCTCACTTTATCCTTAGTTTACATTATTATATTTACATTTATTTAATATGTGTCTAAGTATCTAATTAATCTTATTTTAAAACGGATCAGTACTATTCATATAAAGTTAAAAAGACATGTAATATGTATTTGTAAAAACACGTTTAAATCTCTCAATACGAATAATGTAGGTGTCTCATAATCATGTCCATTGTCCACGTTTACGTAATTGCCATTGACGCATTGAGGGTAACAAGGTTTGCAAAGCATGATTTGGGTCCGTAGTGATCTTATCCCACAAAGTCCTGTCCTTGGCATTCAATACAAGTATGTCCCCAATGGATAATCGGACGATATCTATACTTACAGTATAAGCACGATTCAGAGGTTTGTATATAAGGTATGTTACTGAAATCATGAATCCTACCTCCTGTCTCCCTCCAGAGCAGGCGAGAGACAACGCCGTGTCCTTAGTGCGGTCTGATTGTGCCTCGATATCAGCACCTTGGTCCAGTAACATCTGAACTGTCGATGCATGGCCTCCTGTGGCCGATAGAATAAGAGGGGTGCATCCTAAACAAAGAAGACAAACAAGTTTACAAAAGGTATTACAAAATTTATCACTTCCTAACTACAGTATTCTAGAGATTAAGATTAACATTTTAATCTTACAGATCCATTAAGAGCCATTTTTTCAGAAATACTAGAGGAGGAAACCCAACCTCAGTTAACTTTATTAACACCGAATGGTATGGTATACTATGGTAAAACTTCAACAGGGTAGGCCCATAAATATCTTATATATACACTAGATAGCGCATCTCTTTTAGTAAAATTGAAGCCAAGAATATTCCAGCGGTTACCCCCCATTTGAATAGATGGCGGCCATGTTGGTAGTTCCCACTCGCTAATAAACGCTTAAAAAACAACAATAACTTTCATCATTGGAATAGTTTGAAAATGTATTTGGAATAAGTTTAACTTAATGTTTAAGTTCCCTGTTTATGAAATAGTAAACATACGAGTCTTCTCATTTCATGGGAATATCCTGAGTCTGCAATCACGGCTTCAATTTTTGAATTGCAGAATAATTAGATGCACTATCTAATGTATATAAGATATCTATGGGTAGCCCATTCAGCACATAGCTGGTATCAATAAGGACCCTGTGATTCAAAAACTACATACAGTAATTATACAGATTTTAAAATTCACAACATGCTTGATTATATTACATGTATTTACAATGTAGAATAGTTCGGACACGACTGCCATAATTTCTTAGCTGTACCCTCTAGATTTTAGGCCAATGCAACTATCTGTGGGAACAAGTCGTCACTGACCTTTCTTATCGCGATGCTCCAGCTCAGAACCACGCTGTAGCAATAACTTCACGAGATCATCGTGTCCACCAGCGGCTGCCATCGACAAAGCGGTGTCGTGATTACTGTCAGTCTGCTGTTCTATATCGATCGCGGGCACAAACGTAGGGCTCGCGGGCGACGGTGTTGGCGTCAGCGGCATCGAAGAAGGACCGACGTATTCGCACGGGGAGCCGTCGTCCGAGTTATCTACAAAGAAAACAGTGTAATGTGTAATGTGTAATGTGTAATGTAATGCATTGATGCCAATACAGTAAATTATGTTTACAGCATGGGTGTCAAATGTTGGGATCTGGGGAAACCGCGTCACCAGCATATGATTGGAGCTAACTTCAATCCTGGGGCCGGTTGTACGAAGGCTGGATAGCGCTATCCACCGGATAGTGATTTTTTCAAGCTTTATTGAATCAGTCGTTGATTGGTATAACTGGGTTTTTTTATACTTCTTGTGTCGTCGGTTGAAAAAATCACTATCCGGTGGATAGCGCTATCCGGCCTTCGTACAACCGTCCCCTGGGTTAGAAGGTCTTGTGCACGCTAGTATAGCCTCCATTTTAAACTTTTACCAGTATCTGATGATAATATTTCATCAGAAAGCGCTTTTCACTCGACTTGGTTTTCAGAGAGGTCCTATTGACTATATCCCATCACTTGACCTAATCTCAGAGAGGTCTCAATACTGTAGGTATCTCTTTTCTATAACATTCTATTATGAAACATTGTGTAGTTTGACTATGGCCAAATTTCATTTATCAAATCTTAAGCCGTCAAGCTCAGAGTTATGTTTCCTATTTGCGTTCTCCAAAATTGACTTACTATTCACCACACATGAGGAAATAATCACATGAAAACAAGACCATTGGGGGCAAGAGTCGTATAATAAACAGTAAAGTCCGTTCAAGCACAGCCATAGATTAAGTATGTACAGATGTGTAACTTCAGTAAAAAAATGTCCCAAGGTGGCCATCTTCCTAACAAGTGTTGCTCGCATGATAATTCGTCATTTGGTAATACGTCTTGCTTTCAAAAATGCTTTCAACACCTGAACAACCTTAATTGCTTTCAACAACTTTAAACATTCAACATTGATTGTTTAATCCAAACATGTCGATCGAAAAAGGCCGCAATAAAGTGCAAAAATTTGTATTTTTCAGGACGCCATTTCGCTAGCAAGTGTTATGGCGTGAGCATGACGTGTACATCTAGGGAAATTTGAGGACACGAAGTCCTATAAAGTTACACATCTGTTATATTCTTAATCTGTGGCACGGCTAAGCTTACGAAATCCCGCGAAGGAGTTTACGTACGGTTCCGAAGACCTCGATACGCACCTGCGTAACCACTGTGTAAACTGGCCTCGTCATCACTCGCTCCAGACTCTTCGCCATCTCCGATACTGTCCACGTCAGCGGAAGTGGGATCCAGTCGAAATGGTGAAGGAGGCGTGGTGATCTCGAGAGCCTCGTGTTTCACACGTTCAAGTTCTGCTTCAATACGTTGTTGTTCCTCTGGTGTGAGTGATGGCATTTCGCGTTCCAGTTCGTTCAGAAAGGCTATGTAAACGTAGATATTAAAATCAGTCAGCTCCATGCATATCTGCAGCGAGAACTCTCGACAAACGCCCGTATTCTAAAAGCTCACTTACACTCAATGAATGGAGGTTCAATAGTGAGCTTCTCTTGTCTGTCAATGCTGTTTTCGAATCCGAAAAGTAAAGACAAACGCCCGTATTCTAAAAGCTCACTCTCACACTCACACTCAATGAATGAAGGTTTAATAGTGAGCTTCTCTTGTGTGTCAATGCTGTTTTTGAATAGCTGGAGGGTGAGTAGTCACATAGTATAGTACGAATTACAACAAATTAACCAATGGGCAAACACATCTCAATTGACTATGAATATGTAATTCTAACGCTCTGAGATATAAAGTTAGAACTGATCGAGTTTCTTAACTTTCTTACCGTTCTTGTACAAACTGGTGGTTAAAAAACCCAGTTTGTCATCCGTCATAGGTACACCTGTGGATGGCAGTAGACCGGGAGGAACCATGATGGATGATGAGGGTAACAGATCATGGTGGGTACAATTGAGTCCAGGGAGGGGTAGGTTGGGATCGAGTTGGTCTAGCGAGTGCACTGGAGGGACACGGGGTGGGGATGAGGGTGAAGAGGGGGTTTGGATAGATGTAAAGTGATATTCGGGATGGTTGCCGTGTAGTGGCGTTTCCATGAGAAGTCGAGCTACAGAGGTGTGGCCTCCTTTGCATGCTTCAAGCAACATTGTGGAATTGTCCTGTTGAGAAATACAAAATGGCAAAAATAGTTGTCACTATCCGCATGGAAATCCTAAGGTTAGGGTCACTTGCAAGACGGTTTTATTTCAGTGTTTTATTTCGCTTGCCCGCCTTTAAGGTTAGGGTTTTACTTCTTTACAGTGCTTTGGTGAGCATGCACTGTTCGGGAGCCAAAAGCACAGCCTAGACCGGTCTGAAATGTATTTGTGTTTACATTCATTCTCTCCGAATTCATCCCGTCTAATACAGTCGGTTCGGCCCAGCGAGCGACATGACTTGAAGCCGGTCTTGGCAATAGTGTTAGTACGGGTAAGAAACCTAAATTAACTTCATTGTTTTATACTGGCTAGCTTTATCAGTTCTTAACTGCTCTCTCTAGATGTCCAGCAACTGACATTCAGAAAATCTGTGGCCCTTCAGATGCAGGCTTCACATTTAAATCAAAATTTTAATCAGGTCACTACATATTGAAGTAGTTGACAGCTACTCTGCATACAACTTTGTGTCCTTACCTTCAATATATGATCAGGTTTCGCGCCATGCGCCAAAAGTAATTCAACAACAGCGAGGTAGCCTCCAGCACAGGCCAATGACAACACAGTATGATCGTTCGTTGTTGTCGCACGATTTACATCAGCACCTGAGCAAACATAAGCTAACTTAACATACCAGGATAAATGTATTAAACGGGGGGAGGAGCCCAGGACGAGGGGTGGGGACGCGGACTGCAGGAGGAGTGTGCGGGAGTGGTGTGCGGGTAAAGGGAAGTGGCATTCAATCTGCAGGCCCACCCACTGACACTAGGGCCTAGACAAAACCCAGCAGGCCGAATATACACGACCAATGTACACATTCTACGTAGCTCTTGATATGAGAAACTAAACAGTACATAAGTGACCAGCTCTTCCAGAAGTGTGCGGGAGAGGTGTGGGTAGAGGGGGAGAGGTGTGGGTAGAGGGATGTGGCATTCAATCAGCAGGCCCACAATGGCTGACACTAGGGCTTAGACAAAACCCAGCAGGCCGAATATATACGACCAATGAACACTACCTCTTGATATGAGAAACTGAACAGTGCATAAGTGACCAGCTCTTGCCGCCTTCATCAAGGGTGTACGTCCACCTTCAGACTCATGTTCCTGAGCAAAACACAAACCACATTAATTGCGCACCGAAGTTAAACTGAAGCATGAACTATAATGATGACAGGGCAATGAACATTGACACGAACAACAGTTCGGCTCCGACCGAAAATGACATAAATATACGTACCAGTTCAGCTCCAACCTCCAAGAGGATGTCGGCGACATCTGTGTGACCATTTTCACACGCAAACGACAACGGTGTATCGCCCGTGCCCGTAGTGGCATTCACATCTGCACCTGCTGAATTTGAGTTTTAAAATCACACATCAGAGCCGTAAGTTGCTTTGTCAGAAATTAATTGCTACACTTGAGTTGTTTGCTTGTTTATGGTATGCATTCTGTTTTGCTTCCTCATTTAGTAAATCAGTTCAAATCAACACTTCATGATTAAGTCTTCAAATGACTTTGTTAAGGAAAAGATTAGAATGTTGATTAATCAATCCTTACTGCAATCTTTGCTTCAAATTTTGCTAGTATGTGAGGGCAAAACTAGACCAGATGGCAAGTGAATTTTATTTGGCAACTAATTTTCATGTCTAACTTGCCGTTTAAAGGAAGCTTGCACTTACCTTTCTCCAAAACAAACTTCACCAAATCAACATGTCCTTCTTGAGCTGCTTCCATGAGCGGCGTCGATGAACCTTGTTCGATATTTGCTCCTATTGTGACAAAATTTCACATTAAGTTGTACTGTAATTCAATATTACTAAATTATAATGCCAAGGAATCATGTAGTTTATGACCAGCGTTAACCAATGACTTAATAAGATTAATACACATATCTTCTCTACGACCTTCTGGAGCTTTCAGATTACATATAAACATAGAAATAATTTATCCCACTCAGGCTCAGTTTCCGAAACAAAGTGGGCTCATATAACACACCATCAAGAGAGTACAGGAAACCATCAACAGTGCTTTACTTCATCACAGAATAAAGACACACAGAAGGTCGAATCAGCAAAAAAAGCGTAACCGCTGCCACGCCATGATTCCTCATCAAAATGCTGACGCAATGGTCCTCGCCAATGCGCTTATACAGGTGTATGAAAGGCATTGTCACCCTGGACGTCCACCATTTTGAATATTATCAGGAGGGTGAGTGCCTCTGAACATGGCGTCAGCATTTTGATGACGAATTACGGTTACGCCAAAATCATAGGAAAAACCAAGAAGTCTGGTATCTGTATAGTCTCTATTCTGTGACTTCATCTCAATGAGATTAACTGACTACGACCATATTTGTCCTTATTCCAACCACAAAAATTGTCAGCACATCCGCTTGAATGTTAGTTGATCATGCAGTATAGTGGAGCAACGCACCTGAAGGAATTCTAGCAAAAGATAGTGGAATACATTTACCTCTATCTAATAAATACGCAGCGACGTCCTGAAATCCACCACAACACGTTAAACTTAGAGCAGTCTCTTGCGTTTCGTCGGTTTGCGCATGAAGATCAGCACCTACAGTGGTAGAGGTGTTATTACATTTTTATGAATTGCCCTTTTCTCTCTGCAGTAGCTTTGCCACCGAGGTTCAATTCTTACATTAGTGAGCATAAGCAACAGACGTTTTTATCAACACGTACATCTCCCGAAAACTGGTGTAACTAATTTTGGCGGCGTTTTGCACCATAGCGCTCGTGTAAGGAAGTAAAAAAACTTTAAAAATCTTATGTTTTGTCAGATGTGTTGAAGATTACACAGTTTTTGATCCAGTCCAATAGGTAGATAGTCTGATTAAACGAATGCCAGCACTCTCCATCGAATGCCAGCACTCTCCTGGACGAGTAAAATTGTCTGTCTGGCGTTAGACAAAGTAAATAAATTGCAAAGTAGGGAGCGTTAGGGCGCCATTGAAAGAGCTAACTGAGATACATGGGCAGATAGTATGTTTAAATCACTGAACGCCAGCACTGTCCTTGACGAGTAAAGTTACACGACCTGGTAATCAACTTACCTTTATCGAGTAATAAAGCAACCATATCAATATGACCCTCCCTGGCTGCCTCCATAAGTGGAGTATAACTAAGAGAAAATGTATTGGATGTATTAGAGAGGTTTCACTACAAGAGGTTTCATTACCAGGACGTCGGTTGTAACAAGAGCAGAATATTGTGGTCTGTTTTAATTCATCCACCTAAATTCTACATTAATTGCTTTTCCAACACTACTGCTTACCCTTCGTCATTAACTTCCTCCAGGAACGCGTCCCGTTCGATCAGCAGAGATGCGAGATCCACGTGACCACCACATGCAGCTAGCGTTAGCGGAGACTCAAAACTGTCTGCTGGCATGTTTACCTACAGGGACATAAACGGGATGGGTAAGGTTGGTGTGGATTTTAAGTGGAAGGATTTGATTAAGGAAGTGATAGTCGGAAGGGAGGGAAGAAGGACAGATGAAGGGAGATAGGAAGGATGGAGGGAGGAAGGATGGAGGGAGGAAGGATGGAGGGAGGAAGGATGGAGGGAGGAAGGATCGAGGGAGGAAGGAGAGAAGAATAAAGAGGGATGGATGGAGAATGGAAGGAGGAAGAGAGGAATAGAAGGAAGGAGTGATAAAGGAAGGAGAAATGGAGGAAGGAACGGAGGGTGGAAGGAAGGAAGGAGAAATGGAGGAAGGAAGGAACGGAGGGTGGAAGGAAGAGGGAGTAATGGAAAGAAGAAGGGAGGGAGGAAGGAAGGAAGGAAGGAGAGAGGGCGGAAGAAAGGCAGGGAGGGAGGAAGGAGAGAGGGTGGAAGAAAGGCAGGGAAGGAGGGTGGGAGAAAGAGAGATGGAGGGAGAGAAGGAAGGAAAGATGGAGAGAGGGAGTGATGAAGGAGGGAGGAAGGAAGAACAGAAAGAAGGCAAAGAAGGTAGAAAGGGTCAAAAAGACGGAAGGGCATTTATAATAAAGTTTCTTTGATCATTTAAGTTATAAACCACGTTTAGCTGTATAGTTAATGGAGTAGAAGTGTATGAAAGAGTTCCAGTTACATAGCTAACCTCAGCTCCGTGATCCAGCAGGAGACGAGCAACTTCAACATGTCCGTCCTAAATTATAAAATCACATAGAATGTAAAGTTACTGTATGCAGTTGAGTAGGATATAACACACATGTAAAAAGTAGGTAACTCATTCATAATCTTAATTTACTAGCTGTACAAAAAAGATTTCAGTTGAAAGGTTTATGTAGATGATACTATCCGGAAGGGTATATTATTAAACAACGACAAGTTAATATTTGTGACAACTCTATAATATGACTACAGTATATATCATACTGTACCATAGAAGCTTCCATTAAAGCTGTATGCATTTCATCAGTCTTGTGTTCCTGATCAGCACCAGCATCAAGAAGAAATTTCACCATATCAACATGACCTATGGAAAGATTCAACGACTTGTTAAAGCTTAGCAAAAGCGTTCACCATCGTGTGACAAACACACGTACAAGTGTCAAAGTGTGAATATAGGTAGACATGGTTCAAGTCCGTTTCTCAAAGGGTTAAAAATAGCAATGCGCGCACGGTGAAAAAAGGCGCGAAAATATAAGAGAAAATTAGGGGTAGACGGACTTGGGACATTTGCAAGCCCGCCAAAATTTATCGTCGGATTTTTCCTACGGAGGCGTGGCTTATGAGTTGAGAACAACACATTTTCGCGTCAATTTTTCCAAGTAACATTCGAAATGCTGCAAATGTTCCAAGTCTGTCTCCCATACTTTACGGTCCGAACCAAGTCTAGAATTTAGGTCGCAAACATATTACCAACATTTTGCTAATTCCCTTGTCTAAAATTTTATACTTGTTTACTTGCTACAACTACTAGTTACTTGGTTAGATGTAATAAACAATGAACAAAAATATGAGTGGGAGGGTCTTGCCCCTACTGTTTGTCATCGTCATGCGTCTTCATGGCATTTCCACCATCCATACTACGGTTAACCAATGAAAACCAATGTCCGCACATATCCAAACCTACCTTTATAACAAGCCAATGTTAAGGCACTCTCTTTAAACTCATTGGAATGAGAATTAATACACGCTCCTCTCTCCAGCAACAACTTTGCGACATTGACATGACCTCCACTTGCGGCTTCCATGAGCGGCGTATGTCCGTTCTCATTATGGGACTCGATCTCAGCGTCATGGTCTAGCAACACTTTTACAACATCCTCATAACCTCCGCAACATGCATATATCAAGGCAGTGTTACCTGGAAAATTTAGAGACAACATGACGCTAAGGCTGCTCATACATACCAGAGGTACGTACACCAATAGTAAGCTACTGTGCTGTACTGTACTTATTTTGCTGGGCAAAGTACAGCACTCTCGCTATCTGTGTATTTAAGACTTCCCAAGCCTAAAAATAAGTGACTGGACACAGGCACCGTCTGACACAAAATGGACAAATGCCCGCAGAAATGCATTCGTTTGTCCAGGACAGTTTATACGACAGTATCAACTGCCATAATTATATTGATGATAAGTGAAAGACACATACTGTAAGCAATAGCTAGCTTCAGTGCACAATGTACATGTATAATACTTTTCGTTTGTGGAACCACCGCGTAAATTTATTACTACAAAGCTTTCGATCCGTAAGCCCTGATCTTGATCAGTGCTAATAATCAGTGCTTACGGATCGAAAGTTTTGCAGTAATAAATTTACGTGGTGTTTCCACAAACAAAATACAGTATACTATAAAGAACTAATGTACACGTACTGTAATATAAATTAGTTTTGTCCAAGAGCCGGCCATGAAAATTTCATGAGAAAACCAGTCATGACAAAAATACCCTACTGTAACTTGCCGACGAACAGACGAAGGGCCTTCACTCAAAACGTTGACGTTCTCCTTGTATTTTCCATGTAGTTGAATCCCTATCAATCGGAAGCTTTCTCTACATGTACTATATACATACCAGCTTGTGACTGGGCATTCACATCAGCCCCATGGTCAAGAAGTAGATGTACGATGTCAAGAAATCCACCACTTGATGCCTCCATGAGAGGAGTACAATCTCCCTTGCTGCCTCGATCATCCACCTTGGCATTCATAGCCAACAGCACTTGAGCAAGCTCACAATAACCTTAAATATAGAAAGAGTGCAGAATACAGCAACAATCTACACAATATAACAGCAGGGACGGGAAAAATGGTGAAAATTTGAAGGAAACCTTAACACTCATGTCCCACTACAGTATGGTTGCAACAACATATGGTTGACAGACATTATTCCTTGAATTTAAAACCATGGTCAGATAGAACACTATATATTTATGTACATGCAGATTTAGTACAAAAACACTCCTGCAGGAAATTTTTGTGTCCAGGTTGTGCTCCCAAGAAGAAAATTCTATTTCCTGCACTGTGTAACAGTTCAGAGTAAAATATTAAAGTAAGGGTGCATTTGAGCACATTGCAACTTAATGGGTTAAAAACCGACACCTCTCTAACATGAAAGTGTTTTTTCAATCCATATTCCATCCAACAAGACAAATAATTAACAGTTTTGAACTTTCAATACACCAGCCAATACTGACGAAAAAGCTGGAAGGAAATTTCCAGAAAGTCTAACCTGCAGAACAAGCCAATGACAAAAGACTTTCTCCTTCATCGGTTGAATCATGGACACTCCAGCCTTGTTCCAAAAGTTTTCTTACAGCATTGACATTACCCTCTAGACATGCGTTGGCTAAGCTGTGAATACCTGGACACAGAATTGTACATGTTGAAGGAACATGACGAGCAAAATTTATATAAATATTTTGACCAGGAGCAGCTGCAACAAATAGAACCATAGACAGCAGGGCTAGAATTTTATCGCGGGAATTGCCGTAGAGGGAGAACAAAATGCCGCGGATCATTGCGGCAACGATGGCAATTTTTTGCCGTATAGTATAACTTATATACTATTCACTGTGCATTACTATTTTGATACTTGAATTCAGGATGTTGATCAAATGATCAAATCATGCGTAAACTACTATTTCATATTTTTGAAAAAAACAAACACTAAAGAAATACGAAAACATGTTTCTAGTTTGTCAGCAATCCAAAGTAACAATAAAATTAAATTTTTATTACAGTAATTTGAAAAAATGCCGTGGAAACTGCCAATATTGCCATAGACAGCTGTTACGTTCTACGGCAATTTTTAACTCAATTGCCGTCAATTGATTTCCGAGAAATTGGAGGCCTGATAGGCAGGAATCAAAGCTAAGGCCTGCGATTTCTACATATCTGTAATCTTTCTGCCTAAAATTTACAGCTACCAAAACTCTTCACCATTCAGTCTTATTGAGTGAGATGCCCAAATAATCTTGAATATTTACAAACAAATATGCTATACTGTATTTAGAACACTTTCTGAGCTATACAGTTGTGGGTAATGGTGCTCCCTTTAGTGATGGTGCTCCCTTTAGTGATGGCGCTCCCCGCTGCTTTTAGGAGGGCTTTCTAAGGTGGTTATTTTCTCTATAGCACATCAGACAGATATGGTGAGAGATTTTCATGGGGCTAAGGCCTCAAAATCTAGTTCTGATAATAGCAAAACGTACTAGGATGGCCAGACGGAGAAGGGGGTTACTTCTAGCTTGAAGGGGGTTACTTCTAGCTTGAAGGGGGTTACTTCTAGCTTGAAGGGGATTACTCCTAGGTAGCTTGAAGGGGTCTACTCCTAACTTGAAGGGGGTTACTTCTACGTAGCTTGAAGGGGTTTACTCCTAGCTTGAAGGGGTTACTTCTAGCTTGAAGGGGGTTACTTCTAGCTTGAAGGGGGTTACTTCTAGCTTGAAGGGGGTCACTTCTAGCTTGAAGGGGGTTACTTCTAGCTTGAAGGGGGTTACTTCTAGCTTGAAGGGGGTTACTCCTAGGTAGCTTGAAGGGGTCTACTGCTAGCTTGAAGGGGGTTACTTCTAGGTAGCTTGAAGGGGTTTACTCCTGGCTTGAAGGGGTTACTTCTACCTTGAAGGGGCTTACTTCTAGGTAACTTGAAGGGGGTTACTCCTAGCTTGAAAAGGGTTACTCCTACTGTAGCTTGAAGGGGTTTACTCCTAGCTTGAAGGGGGTTACTTCTAGCTTGAAGGGGGTTACTCCTAGGTAGCTTGAAGGGGTCTACTCCTAGCTTGAAGGGGGTTACTTCTAGGTAGCTTGAAGGGGTTTACTCCTAGCT